AGTAGAGCAAAGAATATATGGGTTGCTGAACATTTAATAACAGACAGTAAAATGACAGGCAGCACTTTGAAGCCTAACAAATATTTAACATTTGATATTAGGCAAGACTTTTTTTATACCTTTTATAAGATTAAAGATGGTCAAAGAAGCGCGGAAAAAAAAAAATTTGTTTTCATATTTTTATCAAATGGTAACCAAAAACATTCAGAAGTGAGAAAAATGGAGAAGAAATTAAAATTATTGTTGAATGTAAACAGTGTAGTAATGGGATGGTTAAATGGCTTTAAATTTATGTAATTAGGAATATATATACATATCTTTTTTTTGGAGATTTCAAGGCAGCGGTGGGCGTAATAAAAATATTTTCATGGCGGCAGTGCGTTAATCAGCCAAAAATAAAAGTTTATTTTTATTCGAAATCATCATTATTGGCGGACGGCGGTTTCGCTAAACAATGTATAAAAAAAAGTCTCACCTCATCCACTTTTATGTGACAAAACCTGTGATTTTCAGATGTGATATGACATCATGATGCCCAAATATTGGTGTGATATCATATCATCATGCCCATATATGGACAAATCACAAATATTTGTCATAATTATAATACTTGATAGTGTGAAAAGAGCTTTACAATCCTTTTGCCTTGACCTTTGACATAAACATGCACAAGCAAAATGACAAGATGGCGTAATAGGGAGCTTTCGATTGCACGATGAAGGTAGGACGTAGGACGTAATGACGTCACTAAAAGTTGTCTGCGCATGCGAGAACGTTAAGTTCTTTTTGTTGCATGGGTTCTAGAATGCAATTTGGCCAAATCTACGTATGCAGATAATACAGGAGGCTCAGTAGGACGGTCACACATGAGTGATTAAGTTCTAGTGTCGCAAACTGAAAGCTTACTATTGTTAAGCTCTATAAAGACTATCAAATTCTCTGAAAAAAAACCAAACTGTTGTGTGCCAATATATAGCATGATGTGCCTATATATGGTCATGATGTGCCCATATATAGTGATGATGTGCCTATATATGGTCATGATGTGATGTCATCATGACCATATTTAGGCATGTCACATTTTTTTGTCAAATCAAATTTAATAGTCTGTAGAGGGCTTTAGAACTTTTGAACTATGCTTATTGTTAGGTAATATATAATATACACACACAGTCAATTCATGTATACACCCACAATTTCTCTTGGGGGTTACAGATGCCTGATTACTACCTACTTGTTTTAATAATCACAAATTAAAACGCCCAGCTATTCCCTAGTTATTATATTTCATTGCTGTTGCTTTTGTAATTTACCTCATTTCCAGGAGTATAAATAATTATAAAAAAAACGATCAGTAGTGCTCTCTCAAGGCAATCGATAGTACTTGTGGTTACTGCTGTGCCCAGTGGAAATATTATTTATCAATCAAGAGCCTTTAAAAAAAATTCTGGATGAATGAAAATAGACCTGCAGGAGCTAATTAATGTGAAAATATCAAAAATTTCTTCCATAAACAATAAAAAAGATAATAATTAAAAATAAGAAATTAACAATAACAATAAAGACCTCAACACAACAATTATAATACATCAAGATATGTTACTTGTCGTTGCTATAGTAGAGCATTAGAACAGAAGATGGCAGATTTACCTGCTCAAAAAGTGTATTTACTAGCACAGGTATGCACTATTTCTATCCATTTCTGGTAAAGGACGGAATTAAAACGCTATGGAGTAATGTTCTCTTCCTTTACCTTTACTTTTCCTTTGCGTCGGTTCGCTTCCTGAGCTCTGATTGGTTGCACACTTTTTTCACTTTGCAAAAGTAGAAAGAGTTCGAACTAACAATATTGATGAAGAAAAAACTCTGATAGAAATGTGAATACACATGCGCATAAACCGACGCTTTCGAATAAATTCGCAAGTGGAAAATAGGCTTAAAGGTTAAAACCAAGTCTTCAACACTGGTGAGCAGCCAATATGTTTTATATTTATTGTTCTGATGATACGTTTATGTTACTAATTCTCTTTAATGCCGCATTAGAGGGGCCGGGGTGTTTAGGTCAGAAGTTTAATAGACGCACTCATACAACCCCATTTTATACGTGAACAGACGCACTCATATAACCCCCATTTTACGTGAACTTCATTGTTTGCAAATTGATGCCAGAATTCAATACAAAATCCTTTTACTAACATATAAGTCACTACAGGGGCAGATCCAGAATTTTTAAAAAGAGAGGGGGGTGGGGGAGAAACACCATGTTCAGAATAGATATGTGAGAGTGCTAATTTCAATATATGCCTTGAAATTCTAAAATTTAGTGGAAAAACAAGGGGGGAAGGGGGACGTGCCCTGAACCGCCATCAACTTGCTTACATTCTTCAACTTCTCCCCCAAACATATGGCTGGCGGTTCCCTACGGTCATCTGATTTCCACATATTTTCAGTTCCTTGCACCAAAAACAAGACCACCAGACACAGATCATTTTCATTTGCTACAGCCACACTCAGGAATGCATTACCACTTCACGATAGAAAATCAACATCTATTGCTTTATTTAAGAAATCACTTAAGATGCATTTATTCCAACAATAACATGGAGCGCTATCAATAATCACTTTGGTTTTTTATATGGCACTATATAAGTTCTTACCTTATTATTCACTTTGTTTATTTTATAGGCTTGCACACAGGAAGGCACAGTTACTCATGATTTTTAGGATAGATTTATCTACAATTTGATATAATCTCGTACTGCATTAAGCGGGTGAATTTACTAATAATAATCGGTGAATACATAGCCTCCTTGGTGGCGGTAGAAATCGTTGCTATTATCCAAATAATACACAAAACAATTAAAGCATAATCATGAATCAGTGAAAAAATAAAACAACAATAGAGCGCAGAATCGCATGGCCAGACACACTCTTAGTGAAAAAGTTTTCCTCCATTAGTGGAAAAGGAAGGGCGCCTTTTGCGTCTGGATATACTTAGCAGCAGAAGGGCGCCCTGTACGTTGGGCACGAAGTATAGGAAACTTGCATGGTTAAAAAGAAGGGCGCCGTCTACATTGGGCACGACTTCCACCTCATTTTTACAATGCAAGAACTCTATCTTGTATTTCTAGTATCTTTGGTTCGACCATAAGGAGGTACTAGTTCAATTAATGTTGATACTAGCTCAATTAAGGAGATACTAGTTAAATTAATGAGGTGCTACGAAGGAAACATTAAAGGAGTGTTGGACTTGAATAATGTTTATATCTACTTGCTTTATTTGAGGGCACTACAACATGACAGCAATGTATATACACCATGCAGTGCCAGGTGTCTAGCACAGGCAAAGAAAAGAGTTGGAGACAGAAGTCTTGCAGTCTTCAGCAATAGTAAGATTTTTTGAAAGCCGCAGAACCTGTCTTTGTACAACATGTTCCTGGTACCACCAATTAAAGGACAGCATAAATTCAAATTTATACTTTTACTAAACATCACCACCATCTAAGACTCACGAAACATGCAGAACATGAGATTAATCATACAGATGGAAGTCCTTTCCAAAAACGTACTCAAAGCTCTTACTAGGTAAACTTTGAGACCAGAAACATGAACTGTTGGATAAAAGGAATTATTCAAGAGTTGAAGAGATAATATACTTCACACAAACAGCCTGTTCGAAAAAAGAATGACAGCCTTAGTATGCATGATGTTTTCGGATCCTCAATTCAAGATCTCCACCTGATTAATATAGTGCCACTCATGCTGAGTATTACCTAAGTGGATCAAGCTAGTTATTGGCAATAGATAAAATCAGATTCCTAATAAGAAAAGAGGACAAGGAATGAATCATCGTTACCTGTCCAATAGGCTTCTACAAATCTGAACAAATGCTGACATTGAGGCTTGGATTAAGCAAAAGTTTTTTCCTCAAAATTCAGAATTTTAAGACTTATGAACCCATGGAGCTTGTCTGCATTGATTTCTGGTCTTGGTGCATGTGTTGTGTGAATAAATTAATAAATAAATAAAATCAGTTATATTTAAATAGTAGTACATATGAAGGCATATAATATAACAATAAAGTTAGGTTTTATGTACAATTACTCATGCACAGGCCTTCTGTAATGTGAACTTAACAATGTACAGTACAAAAAATAATTTAAAAGTGTTTGAAATTAAAAGGTTTCAATTTATATTGCAGTTCCACCATGGTTCATAATTACAAGACTGGAAATGGAAAGAGGAAATATAAATCATTCAATGACGATGATATAAAACAAGCATTAGATGCAGTCCAAAATGGAATGTCCCAAGCCAATGCCAGCCGATCTTTCGGCATTACGAGCTCCACTCTCTAGAACAAGCTGAATTAAAAACATGAAAAAAATGTAGGAGGATCTACGGTTCTAAGAGAAGCAGAGGAGAAGGTTCTAGTGCAATACTCTCAGAGGTGGAAAATTGGGGGATACCCATTAACCAATCATGACCTGAAAATTATTATTCAGACATATTTGAACAAACAAGAGAGAGAGAGAGAGAGAGAGAGAGAGAGTGAGAGGTCAAGGTATTCAAGAACAAAGTTGCCAGAGACAAATTTATTGGTTCCTTTGTTAAAAGAAACAATATAAGTTTAAGGGCTGCCGGTAATATAAAGCGCTCCCGTACAAGAGTTAGTCAAACTGATGTGAAAAGATATTTGACAACCTTAGTGACATTTTAAGTACAGTTGACCCAGCACACATATTCAACTACGATGAGACCAATGTGATCGATGACTCCGGATCCAAGAAGGTAATTGTACCATGTGGAACGAGGAGAGTTGAAAGAGTTTAGGAGCACTCTAAAGGTGGCAGCCTCAATCATGGTGTGTGGGAGTGCTTCTGGGGAATTCTTTCCCCATTTGTGGTATATAAAGCTTTAAACTATTATGAAAATTGGACTAAGAATGGTCCCGACAGAACCAAGTATGATGCCACTAAGAGTGGCCACCTTTCATCGGTGGTTTTTTTAGGTCTTCATTGTCAATATAGCAGATATTTATTTATCTATTTATAAGATACTTATTCCAGATATGGAAGGATCCCTTAGTACTCCACTGGTTACAGGTCATGGACGGTAGTACAGGTATATAAAATTACAAATGATACTGCATGTTGTTAACTGGGTTTGCATTCCATATCTCCATCTTTTGATGCTTTAAGCTTCAGCAGTTCCTGTCGCACCTTTTTCTCCATTTCAAGCACTGCAGAAGGTTTTGCATACTGCAAAATAAAAAAAAAAAGAAGAAATTTTATATTGCATTTCAAACTTTCAAAAGTTATAAGAGGAGGGAAAACGAATTTTGGAAAGACATTTAAGAAGAAAAAATTAAAAAAAAAAGACAAGCAGGCAGGGTTTAAGCTGGCAAAAAAAAAATTAACAATTTGGCTTAAATGCTGTATGAAAATAATTAGCCAAATAGAAATTTGATTAGTCAAAACAAAAGAATATGAGCAATGATAGCTTCAATTACATTAGCTTTTTGGCTAATTTTGAATGAAAATATTTAGCAAAATTCTGCTTTTATTAGGATTTGGCTAATGGAAGCTTAAAAACTGAGCAGGATGATCTGTGGACTTTTTTTTAATACACTTCTTCCATTGAGGTATGCATGAGATCAAGGGACGTACAGTATTTTGATTTGTAACTTAAATGTTTTCTTAATTTGTGAAAGTTGTTGTGCTTTTATGTTTTCATTTCTCATTTTGAATTTTTTTATTGCATTTCAAACTTTCAAAAGTTATAAGAGGAGGGAAAACTGGAAATTGACAGCGAGTGCCAAAGAATGGTAGTGATGGTAGATAAAGGAAGATGGATTAGTAAAGCAACTCTCACACGACCTAGCACTGCGAACGTACCAACCTGCGGTCGTACCCGAATGGAAGTATGACCTGCCCTCTTGTCATTTATTGGTGGAAAGTAATAATGGCCACTTTAGCCAAATGATTACGACACGTGTGAGAGCGACTACGATTAGACTGGCGAATAGTACCGACCACAATAAATTTTTCAACATGTTGAAAACTCTGCGACCATGTCGGTCGTGTACCGATCGCAGTGTAGGTCGTGATATTGTGAGCGTAACTTAAGCCACTGTATTCATTTTTGCAATGTAAACACAATATTGATGACACTTTGGATTAAGGAATCAAATTGCACTTCGAAATTTATGGTAATCTTAGGTGGAAAATAAGAAATGACAACCTTGTTTAATCTAAGTAAAAATTTCAATGTACAAAGTGAAACATTGGCTGTGTTTTTTCATTTTAAAAATTTCTATTTGGGAACGTGCTCTTGTTATACTTTATAAACTAAATATCATAATGAGGCTTAGGGAATAGAGAGGCGAGACAAATTCTGGTCTTGAACACAGGACAATGCGATTCTTTTTTTTACAGAAAAAAGTCTTAACTAAAAAGCTATAGCTCCACCATATTTTCTGTTTAATGGTAGATCCAGACAGATTAAAAGTAAATTTATTGAGCTATTGAGCTTAACAAATGAAAGCTATGTAGGCCTAATCGATACAGTACACTATGATAATCAGGGCAAACTCATCAAATAAAACATCTTAATTCATCACAAACCATTAGCAAATTGCAAATGTTTGTGGATGCATTGAGGCAATAATGTGTTTTTTGTTAAAATAATTCTCAATACATAAATTTAAAATGGGGATGAGCATATTTAATGGTGAAATTTTGCAGAAAGCAAATGAAAACAAACAATTGATTGGATATTTTTGGAACAGAAAATTGGGTCAGTAATGAATCAAGAGAGAGACAGTACTGTATAAATGAATTTTGGAAAGACATTTAAGAAGAAAAAATTTAAAAAAAAGACAAGCAGGCAGGGTTTAAGCTGGCAAAAAAAAAATTAACAATTTGGCTTAAATGCTGTATGAAAATAATTAGCCAAATAGAAATTTGATTAGTCAAAACAAAAGAATATGAGCAATGATAGCTTCAATTACACTAGCTTTTTGGCTAATTTTGAATGAAAATATTTAGCAAAATTCTGCTTTTATTAGGCTTTGGCTAATGGAAGCTTAACAACTGAGCAGGATGATCTGTGGACTTTTTTTTAATACACTTCTTCCATTGAGGTATGCATGAGATCAAGGGACGTACAGTATTTTGATTTGTAACTTAAATGTTTTCTTAATTTGTGAAAGTTGTTGTGCTTTTATGTTTTCATTCTCTATCTTGTTTATTTTCCTCATTTTAACTTTATATTTTCCGATGCAGTATTTTTGAATGTTTGTTGTCTTTTTACTAGTCTAGTGCAATTCTTAGATAGGCCTAATTTAATCTTCCTTAATTTAATCAATTTTATATATTCAACTTCAATTGCACAATATTGAAAAATGCAATAAAGTTTTTTGTATACAGTTTATTTGCATAGGAGAGTTAATTACACAAGGCTGGGAAGCACTGAAATCATTATAATTCTGGACAAATGCCTCTAGCAGAACACTCATAATGATTGGGAAAGCTTCACACTGGGATCTTTATGGCTGATTGGAAGAGGTTGAAAATGAGAACATATACAGTATGATAATTTGTTGGCAAATTTATTACATTATGATGTTAGTATTCAAGTGGGATTAAAATAATCAATGTGACATTGCCAATAACATTAATGAAGTCGGTAAAAAGTCAAGGTCAAAAGAATGGAGTCTATAATATAAATATAGATATACCGTCTGTATATAATATCACCATGGACCTATTTGTGTTGCTAAATTTATTACATTATGATGACAGTATTCATGTGGGATTCAAATCATCAATGTGATATTGCCAATCACATTCAGGAAATCGATAAAAAGTCATTGTTAAAAAGAGTCTATATAATAACAATATAGATATTGAAATTATTAATTTTAAATAGTATATTTTAATATACCCTTAATTTTAATTTTAATTAGTTAATAATTCAACTCATTAATTTATTACAATTTTTTATTAGTAATAATTGAAATACAGTGCTTTTTAAGTGACAATGTTTTGATGTTAATTTTATTTTTTACAAATTGCTAATTTAGAGTGTACTTTTATTAATTGTGTAAATCTTGTAAATTCAACATTTTCAACCTCCAGGCTGCTTGTTGTGCATGTTGTATACCTGAATAAATACAAATAAATTTATATAAAACATATACCGTCTGTCTGTATATAAAAATCCTTTAAAATTCAATTAAAAAAACATTGAATAACCACAGATAAACAAACAAGTTTTGACTTTTCAATAAAAAAAATATTAAATTGACTACCAGCCAATTTAAGGATTTATGAAAAAGTATGAAATGTATTAATTATTCATCCTTTAATTGGAGAGTACACATTTGTAAGTAAGTAATCAAAATTATAAAATATTGTTTGCAGTTCTTAGCTCAACATACTGTAGAAAGTAATCGTTAACTGATAAGTATATAATAATGAGGATATAACTTACACTGATGATCAGAGTATTGTTTGCATGGGCATGACTAATTGCACTCTGTTCCAGAGGGAGTTTCAACCTTTCTAGATCTGGAATGTTAAATCTCTTGTAATACCTGCGAAAAATAATGAAGACAACATTAAGACGAATTACACCCTTTTCCAAGGGGTGTTTCAACCTTTCTATATCTGCAATGCTAAATCTCTTGTGAACACATGGAAAGCACAATAATGACATCATTAAAGAAACCAATTGAGACCAAAAAAAAAAACAAACCAAAAAATCGTAGTTCCTACCTTCAAAATAACATTTTTGTACTGAACTGCGTAAGTTAATTCAAACATACAAAATGTTTACGCAAAATGGTTAAATTCAATTTGAAACACCTAAACTATTGTTTTTAACGGGCTCTATGGAGAACACAACACCGGCACATGCCCGCAATGAATTGCTTTAAATGACGATCCGTTAACACTGAGCTTAGAAGGATGTTCGGTACTTGGTGCTACCCCACCAATATGATCTATATGTAATGGTAAAATATATAAGTTCTATGGTTGCGACATTAATCAAGTACAAGTTGTCCCAGTAACTATTAAAAGCAGAAAACCAATTTATCATTTAAGGGCTCAGATCAATTGAAAAGCAAACTGGCATGGTGCATTGAACTTGACTTATTATGAGCTCAATTATATGTACATATATATACAGTTTGCCCTCCAATTCGAGACCACTTTGGGACCTGAAATTTGGGGTGGTCTTGAGCTTGGTCTCCAATTAGAGGGTTAGCGTTGTTTCAGAAAATTGAAGAATGTTATTTGGTTCTTTTAAAAAGTGGTCTCAAACTAGAGGGGTCTCGAATTGGAGGGTGCATTATACCCCCTAGTACTTTCTCACTAAGGACACATTTTTCACATATTGCATACTACTCAAATAATATAAGAATTAATGGGATCAAAGCGAAGAGGGTCATTTTTTAGAAAACATATACTCAATTCTTATTGGTGACAACTTCAAAATACTACAGTTCAATTGGTTACCGCTTCCAAAAGCTCATTTAAAATTTAGTTTGATCCTTTCAATACTCGCTTTCATTGGTTAAAACCTGAATATACTCACTTTTTATTGGTTGTTTTGATGATGCAACACCTCTGCTCTTGGTCAACAGTAATGGAGTATGTGTCAACTGGATATGGTAGATTCCTGATGCGCCACTGGAATGCACTTGCCGTGTCTTTCCTCATGAATATTGGCTGGAGTTATAGACACATAAAAAAAACACTGTGATTGTCTTATGGTAATAAAATTAAATCATGAAATATATTGATATCTTTCGGAATTAATATTGCTTCCGTTTCGAATTCCAAAAGTAATGGGCTCAAGTAATTTAGCTTATAGTACCAGATCCGCTGGGGTTTGAAGATTGTGAGCTTAAGATTAAAATCTTTGGGGCAGACTTAAGACAGATCATAATTAATTGAAAACGTAATTGAGCTACACTTGAGAGGGTAACATTATCCAAAAGTGGATCTTACATTTCATGTGAATTTACACTTTGCATTGATGGGGTTGGATTGGATTTCTTCAGTGAGATACACACCAAGGATAATCCACCAAATTTCTAAGACTTATTTCCAGTGGGGTTGTTCTGATGGTGAATTGAGCAGTTACACTGAGAGACAATCCAATAATCTTTTCAGAAGAATGTACTGCATTGTTTAACATGTGCACGGGCCTATTTGCACACACAACCAATGGCTTAAAACGTCTCATCCGAAAGACAGTGAGCTTTTGACACTTTTCAACCCTCTAGCTGAATCACATAGAGGGGCAGCGATGGAAAATGAACCTAGGACTGACAGATATCCATGGTTCAGCGCACACACAGTGGCTACCCCCATTTTAGCCGACTGAGCTAGGTGAATAGAGATGCACATGCGACTATGCCAGTTATTTTCAATTGATCAGTGACAAATATTAAACACAATGCCCTGTCTCTACTAAAATTTTCTCTGACAAATATCTGCAACTAGCACATAAATAAGTACTGATTCTACCATGAATTACAATTAGCAAATGATTATTTTTTTAGTTTTTATTCATTGGATATGTTCTGATAATTTCTTATCCTTTCAACCTTTTCTTATTGGTTTGTTTTACCAAAATTCCATTGGCTATTATATCAGTGTTTACTTTTTCAGATATGCTTATATGCCTAGCTATTTTATGTAAGTTGTAATAGAATTTCAGAATTGTATTGTATACATTGCCAAAAGTTAGTGTTACTGTAAAAAATAATATTTGTTTGTTGTAATAATTGATTATGACATTACTTACATTTCCACTGCTTTCTTTCAGTAAAGTTTGTTCACCCATCGTGGACTGGCGCAGATCTTCCCCAATTTCAAAATCCCATTTTCCTTCTCCACCTAATGTTGTTTTCTTTCGCCATTTACGAACTGGTAAAAAAAAATATATTTTAAATTTTCGCCCTCTAATTCGAGACCATCTGAAATCTGGGACCTGAAATTTGGGGTGGTCTCCGGGTTTGGTCTCCATCTGTAGAAGGTTAGCATAGTGTTCATTAGACTGAATATTGTTACATATGCAAAAACCATTTTTCATTGGGAACACAACACAACTCATTTTAGTATTTACACTAGGAGAAAAACACAACCCCTTTTAGTATTTACAGTACACCGGGAGCAAAAAACAAACCCTTTTACCCTGGGAGTAAAACACAAGCAGAATTTTCCATCATTCGGATGTGCAACTTCAGAGCTGTGGTCAGTGTAAAATATGACTTAGGTCGGTAACCATTTTGTGTTCAGTGTCCAGAACCAGTAGTTTAAACAATACTGAACCATTGCAATGTACATATTACAGTTAATCAATTTGATAATATGCTTTATACACATTTTGGGAGATTTCAAGGTAACTTCACAAAAAACATTAAAATAATTTTCAAAGCATATATTGTCTGAAATTTTAATTTTTCATGGTGATGGGTATGCTTACAGGCCAAAATTTTATTTCTGTATTCAAAATCCTCATTATCAGAAGATGGAAGACTGTTAAAATAATTTTGAAAGCATATATTGTCTGAAATTTTCATTTTCCATAGTGATGGGTATGGTAACAGGCCAAAATTATATTTCTGTATTCAGAATCCTCATTATCAGTAGGTGGAAGACTCATAAAACAAGGTAACATAAAATGTATTGCTTTAAGGGAAGCTTACCAAGAAGTTGGTCATCTTTCATATTGTATTCTTCAGCCATTTCTGTTCCATCTGGCAGCTTGTAATGCACCTTTTTTCTGCCTGCAAATATGAAAAATAGGAGCATGTGTCAACTGCAATGAAGGCATCTACAATTTTGGTCATTTGTTTTATTTTACTACCCTATATACTGTACAATATATTATTGTGTGAATATTAAAGTTTCTTACCTTAGGGCACATAAAAATTTTTCTTAGATTATCACTCCTGCCCGCATAAAAAATTTTGGAAATATTGATGCGGGAATAATTTTATTTTTTATTATTTATTAATTTATTTTTGTCTTTATTTTAACTGCATAAAAACAACTTTGCAAAAAAACAAATGCTCACAAAATCCGAATTCGGCAGACTCTTCCAATTGATTAGATCAGACATTGCGATTGCCGTAAAGTTGAAAATGCAAAGCCCATTCTTTAAACTTGTTTAATGTCGCCAAAACAGCTTGCTAACTATGGCCAAAAAATAGACAACACCACGGTCCATCTTTAAGGAGACCCGCCCAGTGGGCTGATCGGATCGTTAATTCACAGCATAAAGACTGCATTACAGTGCAGTAGTACTAGTAATACTCAGGACTAGCATTGTTTTAGTTACCATATGAGAGTTTCTTGTGTTAAAAACACGATTTACTATACTTCTTTATAAAACATAAGTTGTACTTTATAATAAGAGAAATCTGTATATTATTGGTACCTGGAACAGTAACAACATGTAAGTACTATGCTACTGCACTGTAATGCATAGGCCTATTTTAATACACTACTTAGATAGGCTTTTCTTTTTCCATCTTGATTTCAGAGGTCAAAATCATTTTTCAATTTTTTTTCAATCATATAGTGGTGTAGACTAGTCTTTTAAGAACATTTTGCTGGAAAAATTGTTTAAATACAATGCCCTGTTATGGAGTTATGATTTTTTAAATAACATGATGTCAGAAAATCAGCCCAAAAGCTTATTTTATTTCTGTTGGTTATGCACCGCTGATTCGCAATATTTGTCATCACTTCAAGATGTCTACCCATTCATGAAAAAGTGAAGAAATGAACAACGATCTCATGACGATGATCAGAATTTTACTAAAATATACTGTGTACTTCATTTCAATCATATTGAAGAAAAAGGATGCAAAAACATCATCATGAGATCGTTGTTCATTTCTTCACACTGTACTCTTATTCAACAGAGAAAACCCGCCACTTAATGGAATAAAATCTGACAATAATTTAACATTAACAATTTAAGCAATCTTAATAATTAAGAAAAACACATACGGTATATTAATGTTTAATTTTTGTCATGTTAAAACAATGACATAAAACATGAGTACATACTGTAGACCTAATCATAAGAAATTGAATTAGAAAAACTACATTATGATTTTTTAAATGTTAAAAATTTATTTTGAATCCGACTAAAATCAAATGAATGCACGATGGCGTGCATTTCGATACTATTTTCTTTAGAACCACGCCCAAGAATTAGGCCTATGTGAAAATTAGGTGGGGCTCATAGCATCTAGTATCAATTTTCCACAATAGGAACAATTGGTATTGTTGAGTGACAGACATTTCGCTTCAGTCCTTCATATTTGTTCGACCATTAGGGGCTATGTTTGAAACCCATCAGTGACAAGGATGCATCCAATGACGTGAATCACCGGTGGTATGTTGGTGACACTTCCTTTTCAAATATTTACTTTAATAAAACTAATTAGTCATAATAACGATAATAAAGGTGATAACAACAAAAATATTAATAGTAATATTTATTTTAACAATACTCAATAGTAATAATACTAATATGGTATTAATAACGATCTTTATTTAAATATCTATTTTAATAATACTAATTAGTGATAATAAGGATATTGAGGTGATAATAGCAATAATAAATTAAAGATAAAGTTTTTTTTTATAATAATAGTAATACTAATTAGTAATAATAATAATGATGATAGTTATAATACTAGGCCTACTTAGTAATAATAGGGTAATAATATCGATAATAAAGGTAACAACAATAATATTAATAATAATAACAATATAAGAAAAATACCAATAAAACACCAATAACAATATTCTTATTAAAATAATAATACTAAGACTAATATATATATATATATATACTGTCTCTAAATCTAGAAATACAATTGATTGAAATAAGCCTGTCTCTTATACACATCAGACACAGGTGAAACTATCCCTCGCCGGACCCCATCCCGGTTGTTGATGTTACTAGGTAGGCCTAACTATCGGGTATTAAAGTAGGACTTTTAATGACGATAGGCTCTAGGCTAGGCCTAAATGTAGGCTAGCCAGGCTTTGTTGAAAGGCCACTTCATGAAAAGGGGGGTTCGTTCGAACCCAACAAACCCCCTGGGTACGGGCTTGCAGTCAGTCAACAAAGGATGAATGAATACCCCGTACGGCATACGTAGGTATTGTATTGGTCAGTACTTAGGCCTAGCTCTAGTTTGATCTGTCTAGGCCTATTTATTATTTGATCACAGTGCTAAAATGTGTTGTTGGCATGATTTTAAAATTAATGAAATATTTTAAAATGTAAAACATTCTACTTCTTAATTGAGACAACCATATTATATACAACCAACAATATATATATATTATATAGTTAGTTGTATAGGCCTAGCCGCATAGTTGTCTTAGTTTTTAATTAAATAAAAAGGCTGTGGATTTTTTCGACGATTTTACAAAATCTGAGCTACTGATTGGTGGAGCTCTAACTTTAGTTCAGCCTTGGTATATTATTATTAATGCATTACGCCATGTCGAAAGAATAAGTTTTTCCTTTTAAAAAGTCTTTAAAAAAGTAATTGTCATGATGCAATGTTGAAGTTCTTTTAATGTTTCTATTTTCATTCTATATCTTTTTTTTTTTGCGTGAAGGAAAAAAATTCCATGCTGTATACTCTTGTCCTGCCTTGGCAATCCTGCTTAATACTGTACATCTCCATTATATCCCCTCTCCTGTCTAATAATAAAACCCCATCCTGTTCTCTTTACTCTTTAATTATCCTCCTGCTTATACTTACCTCCTTCCCATAACAACAGTTATATATCTAGGGGATCTGCAGGAGGAGGGTGCACCCCCAGGGCCAAAGGAAGCTTGTACCCCCATTGGAAATGTCTGAAGCAAAAAATTCACCTTTAAGCACCTTATTTTGCAACCATATACCTAGCGCCCCCTCACTTAACCATCGGGTCCCCCATCAGTCCTCCCACCTTCATTTCCTGATCAGTTTCCCTTCCCCAACCCCATTTCAAGACTCGTACTATAGATATTATGCCACTGCGTAAGAAACCCGCTATTTTGGCTACAATTCCCTGTGGAATACTGTTCCCTTCTTTGGCTAACTCACATACTATACCATCCTTTTTCTTTCCTCATTTACATATTCTCATTTCTCAGTTGTTGCCTTGTTTTTCTTCTTTATAAATCCTTCAATAATTATACTCACCAAAATCATCAACTGAAAGATAAATTCTGTTTTTATTTTTAGGATAATTCAAATGATGTTGGTCTTAACAGCTGTTTGTTGCTATACATTGTAAGTGATTCTTATTATTACAAATTTCCTAACACTTTGTTTTTTAATGATAAAATATAGATACTGTATTAATACATTTTTTTCTTAAGATTGTTATAAGAAGTTATTTGTAAAATGTTGATTAGTATAATAAGTGCAAGCTATTGCCATCAGATTTTTTTTTTTGAATTTGATTAATTTGATTCGTACTAATGAATTCATTCCCCATGTGGGGTAAACTAGTTTAGTTTCTATTCTACTTTACAATTTGTATTATAATACTGATGAAAAAATATTCTATTCACTACTACTACACAGGACTGGTAATAATTTGGGCAGCAGGGGGTGGATCCAAAAGAAATTTTGGCAGGGGCCATCTCAAGGGGCCAACACATTGGTACATGGAATTAAAATTTAAAATTAGTTTGTTTTGTAGTACCGTGCACCCCTACTGTATTTCTCTTTTCTTTTTTTTTGGGGAGGACCCCTAGCCCTTTTCCCCTCAGGATCTGCCCCTGGGCAGAATGTACAGTAATTGATTTGTGTTTTGTTACAGTTGGCTGATTGCTTATTTAATGCAGCTTAATCCATTATTTGGGCCGCAACTTGAAACAAAAATCATCAATGCTATACTATGGGAGTGGGAGGGAAAAGTAAGTGTTTTTTCAAATTTTTAGCTCATTCAATATTATATTCATATAATAATATGAAATATGTGACTCTGGCAAAACCAGTGGTTTGTAGGCAACCAATTCAAATTGAGTTTTTGGTGTTTTTAGATTCGGAATGAATTCTTCTTTAAAAACAGTGTTTATTTGATAGAAATTGGTTGATTATTAGCAAAGTTAGATTGGTATTTTAAAAATAATTTTAATATACTTTTTAGTTAGATTTATAGTGATTGATATTTTTGCCAGAATTCTTCAGTATATGTTTTATAAAATGCAAAAATATGAAAATGTTCAAAATTTTGGGTGCTTGTGGGGAATTAGAAATTGCAACAAACAGCAGTTTTTGCCAGAGGTGGTCACATGTATATTATAAATATATATTTACTATATATATAACACTGAAATAAACTATCGCAAGTATTACAAGCAGAGCATGGTAGACCAGAGCGGATATAAATAAATAAAAAGCGAGGTTCAACAGTAGCTTTGATTAGACATTTTATTACTACTTAGTTTCGTACCACACACATGGTGTGACACTCTTCAGATAAAATTGCCTAGATG